AAACCAGTTTTTATCAAGAAAGAACTTGTGTCGCTTAAGTTTCGTCGGAACGAAGTTACGGAAAAATCAATTAACAAACGGAGACGTAACAACAGGTTGTTGTTTGTACTTGTGGCTTCATAATTACTAAATTAATAAAAATTAAGTGTTTTTTTTTATTTCTGCCACATATTCGGGATAAAGTACCAAATACCATAACTATATGCAACTAGAATCGCTCTTAATAAAACAACCATTCTTATTTTTCTAGTAAATCGCTATGCTAATATATTTTTACTTTCAAAAAGTGGGTTTCTCGTCATCAAATTTAAATTTCCATTTGGTGGCGTGCCCGCTATAAACAAGCTGTGGGGGGTGATTTTAAATATTGTATTTTAGTTTATACCATTCAACGCTAACGAAACACATAAAATAGATTAAAGTAAGTATATTATCGTCATTTTTAAATTACTTTTCGAATTATTAACCTTTTTTGTTAATTTTTTGGCATGATTAAGTAACTGTGAATGTAATTAGAACAAACTGTGCACTCCCAGTCCCACAGTTTCGCTCCCGTGCTACTAGTACTAGTACAGTAACATATAAAAAAAAAGTTATGATTAAAACTTCAGAGAGAACCTTTGATCATATAGTTTGAAAGTTAAAATATTAAACATATGCACATTCCAAGCACACGAGTAACTAAAGAACCGATAAAATAATCGGTCAAAAAATGGAGTTTTTGGGGTTAAGCCTAATTTTACGTTATCGTAAGTCGTAGTAAGACTAAGTTACAATTACTACTACAAGTGAATACTAGTACTACAGTACAGTACTACTAATAACGTTAGTACTTTAGTTAATCAATACATTTTACACCTTTTTCATAAACTGTATCTTATTTCTTACTGAGGTAGGTCCAAATATTGTGGTGAATTCTGTATTGTTTTAAAATTTTTGAATGTAAAACTAAAACTATGATTAATATTTTAATTCTGTAAAAAACAAAGTGCTCACAAGAAAAGGAAAAAAATCTCTAATGTTGTATTTTCAATCTTTCAAAATTGTGGCTCTGAGGAGTTTAGTTTTATAAGTTTCTTGGGAATTATCTGATTGAAGTTTATGTTGGCAGTCGCACAGATTCACAGTTCAAAAATTGAGTTATATAATCGTAATACAGTATGTGGCCATTTTCTGTGTGCTAGAAGTATCACATTTCTGCTTATAACCAGTTGACTTCAAAGAAACCTCTGATGGTTAGATTTGTACATTTTGGCAGATTTTGGGGTTCAAGTAAGTCAAAAAGAAAAAGATCAGACCCAAAAGCCTATTTTGGGCTAATGCATTGTCTTGCCAAAGGCATTGTAATATATACATGTATAACTAGTCATAGAAAACGGCTTTAGTGATCACTATCTTAATATGGTGTAGTACCTAATTTTTTGTAATTCAACTTTTAATTATATGCACAATATAAAATAGCTATTTACAATTTTAATATAACCATTTTTTTAGATTTTTCAACACTTTGTAATATCAATTCAGGAAATGCTCTTAACTGGCATATGTTATCGGTGTAGGAATGTCCACATTGTTAGAAGTTTTTATTTTTATATTGTAATAATTTATTAGAGAATAAAATGACTTGATTAAGATATATTGGTTTTCATTCCATGAAGAGTTTAAAACCTTAAATTTTTTTTAGAATTACCATTTTCAAAAACCTTTACTATGTCGTTCATAAACATTTTTCTGGGCATTGAGTCTGGAGGCACCCATATTTTGAACTAACTTGTACATTAATTCTTCTTTCTGTTTGTTTCTAGTTAATTTTTTAATTAACCTAGAAATAATGTTTTAGTAATTATTTTTTCCCTGTAATTTTTGTTATTTTTTCCAACACAGGTCAATTTGACATTGTCTTGCCTTGTGCATGTTCATTTAAAATTATTCTTTTTAGTTATGGTTTTTAAACACATCAAATTATCCTGTATGAAGTACCAACTTAAGTTGCTCTCTTCATGGAACTTGCTTGAGCAAAAAGATTTTGAAACAGTTCAGAGATCCTTTTTGAATATTTGTTTTTAGACTTCAAATGCTGGTAAAAAGAATACAAATATTTTAAATCATCTTGTATAGAATCTGATGAACTATTATAAGTCAACTATGTATCATCATAAGTTTTTTTGCCACTTTTAATAACACTTTTCATTTATTTCATTACTTCAAATTAAAATTCCAAGAACTTGGCAGGTGTACAAAATACAAGTCAGGAAGAGAACAAAGTCTTCATGCCCACTATCCTTGTATAACTTGAATCTGTCAGAAAGTGTTCCCTTTTAAAATATAAGCTTAAGGCCTATTATTTTCATATTTAAACAGTATGAATACTAAACCTGAAAATCCAAATAATTGAAATAAATTTTATATTGCATTCTATAAATAACTATAAATCTTCATACTTTATTGGACAAAATAGTTCACAGTATTTTAGATTTGGAATGATTTTTATGTGACTTGCCATCCATGCTGTGACCAACTTATATAGAACTTAAAAGATTACAGCAACTAGCATAAGAGCCAGTAGCTGAGAACAAGTCATTGTTTCATCCATCGTGTTTGTACTAGTTATGGTGCATTAACATTATGTATTGTATATCTATTCAAAAATTAAAAGTGTGTTTGATGTTATTGTAATGTAAGCATCATAAAAATAACTTTCCTAGGTATATATGATTTTTATTGCTAATACAAAACTATTTATAGAATATATTTCTGAATTTTTATTTTTTTAAAAATTGTCTTCAGGCTTTTCAGAAAGTTATAAAACATAGTATAAAATTAATTGCCAAAAGTAACATTGTTTATGATCATCTTTATGAGTACTGATAAAATGTACTTAATGTAGTTACTTAAAAATTGAATATAAATATATAATTATCAGAGGCCAGTAGCAGCTGAGTAATTTATTAATACCATACACACTCTAGACCTACCCATGCATATTATTTTATTTATTAAAATTTGTAATGATTTCTTGAAGTTTCTTGATGTCTGCCTTTTAAGAGAAATGTATAGCCTATACTTTAATGTACAAAAGTTTGTGTTATAGCTGAAAAATATTTAACTTTTGACTCCAGTGCTAGATATTATAACTTTTCTTGACTCACAATTCCCTTGTACTAGCAAATTTCTAGTCACCCATGTGAAAGTACTGCAAAAATGTTATCATAAGGGATGCCCAAGAATTTTGCTGATAGATGACTTCCCTCAAAGAATAAAACAATAGTTTTACCAAAGAAAAAAACTTTGTGAATTGCAGAAAATAACAGGCCTTTGAAAATAGTGTTACCTTTTATAAGTCAGAATGATCATCTCCAGGTTTACCTAAAGCACTACTATTATTAACACACCATTACTCTTTGGAAAGAGAAAAGTTTCCTAAGCTTTATCTTGCTATACTTCCCACATTGTTTTCTGTATGGATATGAGATGTAAGATCATGTAGAAATTTATCTTATATTAGTTTAGTATATTTAAAAAAAAGACATAAAATGATTAAAATAAAAGAACAAGTTTATTGTACTGTGACATCCTCCATGTTTGTACTGTTACTGTTCTCCAGTAGAGGTACTACTATAAACACTAGGGAGCTTTAATTACAAAGCTGCAAAAGACCTCTTGACATTTCCAACAAGTAAAGAATCCAGGCGATGCTGGGTATGACCTAGTGGTTGGTAAACTTTAAGAGTGAAAATCAAGTTCCACTTTCAGTCAGCAAGAGTTGATTGTGGGTGCTATTGACAAGCGGCCTTCTTGTTGTCTTAATTGGTTCAAAATTAGGTACAACTGTGTATAGATAGTCTTTATGTAGCATTGTGCTAAAGTCTGGCACAGAAGTTATATCTTTTATTTTAGGGATATAATTTTTTTTGGAGGTTATTGAAAATTTTGTCCCTGTAAGTCTTAATTGAAATCTGAACATTTACTGACATTGTCTGTTGAAATAAGGATCCCCACTTTTCAATCTATTACTTTAAGAATGTGTTACTTAAATGCATACATATGAGGTTATTATGTAACTCAAGAACGTTATTAGCTTTCATAAAACAACTTTTTAATAATGTATTCCTGTTAGGTAAAAAAAATTGATTATAATTTGAGTTTAACAATTCTAAAATGGTAAAAAAATCTTTTAAATTTTAGTTGATCTTAAAATTTTTTTATTGTCACTGAATCATTTGATATTACTTACATTTAACAATTATTTACTAAACATAATAATTTATCTTCGAATAACCTGGATGTTGACAACTCGACTGTCGACATTGTAATGCAGACTGTCGATTTGTTCTCATCTAAATTTCTGTCAGTTGTTTAGTTTATTAAACATAATTCTACAGTCCTGCATTTTTTTCTTGCTCTAGATTTAGCAAAAGACAAATAATTTGACTTTTAAGGAATGTTGAAGATATCTCACAAGTATAATCATTCCTTTATGTCAAGAATTGGTAATGAATTTTTCTCAACTATTTAAACAGACCAATGGCCAATGTGAATTCTCACCAGATGGCAGGCTCTTGGTAAGTTTTGTCAATACAATGAATTTGTTTATTAAAACCATTATACAGTTATAAAAACAGTTTAATGACATTATATGCTTTTACTTTCTATTAAATGTTGAATTTGGAAACATTGTTTTACCTTAAATATATACATGTAAGAAAATGTTGGAAGGTTAACCAACTAATGAAAATATATACATATAAAAATAATGATTGTAATATTAATGTTGAGCACCTACTTAACTGTATCATTAAAACTGTGTTATTTAAAGGTGGGAGATGCGAGTTGCCTTTGTCTTTCAATACATGAGGTATCTAAAAAATTGTTTTATTATAAGTTTTATCCGACTTGATACAGGCTTACACCAACAGTCAGCGGCTTGTCATTCGTGATGTTCAGTCTCTACAAGTTGTATGTCAGTTTACCTGTGTTGATTCTATAGAAAAAATTGAGGTAAGCAAACAAAGATTGCAATAGTATTCAGGTAGAACAAAAAAGTAGTATATCCATAAAAGAAATAATAGGTACTATGTAATCACACCTTTTTCAGTGACCATAATACAGGAAAAACAGAAATGTCACTAGTTAGACAACGTGAACATTAAAAATTTGATTTTTCACTCCGTGTACATATATATAGTTCCAACAAACCATGTAAAAACAAAACAGTCATTGATAATGTCTACTAAGTCTGTAAGTGATTATCAGCCTCTTGTTTCTTATATGCCCAATACTCACACTTAAAAATGGTGAAATAGTGCAGTGTAAGATTGACATAAAATAATATTTTGAAACTTAAAATATCTTAAATTCAAGATATAACAACAATGGGGCCATTTAGCTAGCCAGAAAATTAAATTTTTATTGTGCTTGTCACCAACTCCATTTAAACTGGACTCTTCTTTTTTTTTAGAAATGATAGATATGGTAAAACATGTAATGGTAGAAAAGTGAAATGATATTAGGGAGGTAAAAGACAATCAAAGTCAGGTACTTAATACACTGTGTAAAGAAATGTGTAATTTACTAGATAACCCATTAGAAATTATGAATAATTAATTGTGACAGGATAATCACATATTCAAATACTTAAAGTATTTTAGGTTATCAAGTTTGTTATGAAAGTAATGTTGTATAAAGTAATAGGCCTAATCTTAATTATTATTTTGTGTAGTGGGCTTCAGATTCAACATACATCCTTTGTGGTATGTTCAAACGAAGAGTTGTTCAGGTATGTAAAAAATACAGATTTTGTCTTTTACCCCGATCTCAGATTGCATTTATAAATATATATTTTTTATATATTAGGTAATTGTTCCATTTAGTCTATTGCTCATGACACTTACTTGTATTTCTTTTATTTTCAGAATATTTATGTTTTTACTTTGTCATTAATTTATTGTGTTAAAAGAAATGTTTGATTTTTCACTATCTTCCTTCCCCAATTTTTAGGTTATACCTTTTTTTGTTCCTGGGAATTTTAGATGTTTTTATTCTTATATATTTAAGCCTTTTCTTCTTTTTTGTGTTTTATCTTTCTGGTTTATCAGATGAACTTTACTGATGTCCACTTGTTCTCTAACAATGCTTTTACTCATGATATATACTTAATTGTATAGCTGGGAGCATTGTATGATCTGATTGCAGGAAGTATTAATATGTAGATAGGCTTACTGTTTTAAATGGAATGTCAAGAAGTTTCTGTTTATTTCATTTTACTTAATTCTGACATTTTGTTATAATGTTTGTTCAAAGACACCAATCTTATTTAAGTTGAAGCAACTTTAATACTTTATCAGTGAAATAAATTTTACTTCAACTATTGTTCTTAATGTGTTGAAAAGAACATGCTCTCGGATGTTTGCTCCTTTAATTACATTGGATTTGAACTTATATCTCACTCCAAGCTTCCTGAAAAGTGGTTTCTGAAAACACAGACCACTCAAGTAATGCACCTCTCCAGTAATTGTACGGTTTATTACACAGTATAACTGATCTCTCCAGTAGTAGAGAGGTCAGTTATACTGTGTAATATAATCCTGTAACCAGAAAGACACTGTGAGAAATTCACTTTTTTCTTCTAATCTAGTTAGTAAATTTAATGTGTTTATTGAGTTTCTAACTAAAACAATATTAAAATGCAATCCTTTCTTGAAATTAATTAGCTATATTTTGTTTGTGAAATATTATCCTTTTCAAGATTTCACTTGTGCAGTCTCTGCATATTACTGAGAATTTTGTTTAGTTAGAAACCATACGATGATATAAAGAAATATTTACTTGTGTCACCTGATTGATAACAACAGATAATTGTACAATTATGATTGTACATCAACTTTTAACTGATTAAATATACTACTTATCAATGTTTAAGGTGTCCATAATGTCAGCTAGTTAGAAACATTATAATTCCTGATAAATTATAGACGTAGAACTTATGAGTTAATCAAATTAATTTGTGTTACTCTCAGAAATGAAGTAACATATAAATTTTAGATGTAAAATTACATACTTCATCAGAACAATTAATATTAGAGTATCATTTGTAATTTCATTTTCAGCTGTCATGTAATATATATGTAAATGTATTCGTTATAAAAATCTATAATAAATTATAGGTTTGGTCTGTACAAGAACCAACTTGGACATGCAAGATTGATGAAGGATCTCTAGGGCTGATAGATGTTTTATGGAGTCCTGATGGGAGACATATACTGACTACAGCAAAATTTCATGTAGGTACTGATTACATCATTAGGTGTTGAATTCTGAAAATATTAATACATTCTGGGATGATGCTGATTCCAGAAACCAGGGTCAGCCTTTTGTGATGATATTTAAATCACCAGTTCTCAAGATGTGGTCTACAGGCTCCCTCCAGGTGGTCCATGAAAAGGTTGTTTAATTACTAAAAGGAAATGACAACATAGTGTACGGATCCAATTGTGGTCTGCCAAAAGATTCCCAGGGTCCTCAAAAAAAAGTTTGAAAACTACTTTAAGAAGGTTTTAATTATTCAAAGAATTAACTTTTTACATTTTTGTTAATTGTTTTTTTTTTCCATCTGAAATATTGTTTGGAATGCTATTTAAATACTTAAAAATATTGTGCTCACATTATTCTCTCACTTTCCAAGTTGTGCACACAAGAGTAAAATTCATACATCTGAGTCATGGATGGAAGAATTCCATTGCATGTGTCATACTATAATTGTAGGACTTCAATTCATGAAAAAGTTTCTAAAATGTATTCTGACCCCTTTTTTATTTATCAATTCCTCCATTACCTAGCTGAAAGAGAAAATGTTTCCCAATTCATTTAACATACATATTAAATTTAAAAAATGTTATTTGAAAAGAAAATTAACGTGAACTGATTAATAAATTTGTCTCCTTTCAATCTTTACAGTATGCTAAATCATTATTTATCTTTTGAACTTTTACAGTGTATTAAATCATTGTGTCTTTTGAATCTTTACAGTGTACTAAATCATTGAGTATCCTTTGAATCTTTACAGAGTATGAAATCATTGTGTTCTTTTAATCTTTACAGTGAACTAAATCATTGTGTTCTTTTAATCTTTACAGAGTATGAAATCATTGTGTTTTTTTAATCTTTACAGTGCACAAAATCATTGTGTTCTTTGAATCTTTACAATGTACTAAATCATTGAGTATCCTTTGAATCTTTAAAGTGGACTAAATCATTGTGTTCTTTTAATCTTTACAGAGTATGAAATCATTGTGTTTTTTTAATCTTTACAGTGGACTAAAATCATTGTGTTCTTTTAATATATACAGAGTATGAAATCATTGTTTTTTTAATCTTTACAGTGCACAAAATCATTGTGTTCTTTAAATTATATATATATATATATATATGTATACCAACAAATTTTTATCTACAGATGTATAAGCTGTAATACATCAGATATTAAGATGTGATATCCAGTTTGGATGGGGAGTACATCTTGACAAATTAATCTCAGTGTCTAGTGTTACATTTTGTTAGTTTAACTTGTATATTAAATCTTGTAACACTTTAAAAGATCAAAATCTAGTAAATTGCTAAAGAATTAAACTATAGAACTGTTCTGTCAAACATGGTTAGTTTTGTGCACTTAGTGATTAAAAGGCAAAACTTTTGTGTTTTGCATTAATAAAAATGTGACACTTCAATTAATAGTTCATTCTGCAGTTTCTTAAAAGATAGATTCAACTCTGTGTTTTCAAATAATGCATAAGTAGAAACATTAAATGTTTTCTTTATTCCTTATTTTTATGGTTAGCTGAGGATCACTGTCTGGTCCCTTGTCAACAAGTCTGTCTCTTACATAAAGTACCCTAAAGCTACCAAACCTGGACTTGCTTTCAGAAATGATGGGAAATACTTAGCTCTTGCAGAGAGACGGGACTGCAAGGATTACATCAGTATATTTGTATGTTCCACATGGCAGCATATTAAGGTGTGTATTGTGATTATTTAGGGTCTTGATATCAGTTCTGAAAATTTTAAGTTTTGCTATAACTTAAAGTTTATGCAATGTAGAAATAATCTCAAAATATATTGTAATAGGAACATAGGGAAATTTTAAAACTTCATTTTACCAGGGAAAAATAACTTTTTCATTCTTTCTTATTGTATTGACAGAAAATAATAATTATTAGGTCCTCAAGAAATTAATGTAGCATTTTGGAACACTTTCATTAACCACCCCCCAAAAAAATGCACATCACGTATAATAGTTAAATGAACCACCTAAACATCATGTTAATGTAGCTTATATAATGTGTAAGGTTTAGTATACTATAATCTCTTATAATGATGGCACATGACAAGACACATATTCTGCATGTAATGCTGTTTGAATACAAAGAGGGAAACAATGCCTCTGTAACCACAAAGAATATCAAATAAGTTTACGGAAATGTTTTGAATGTTCGTAAGTGTCAATGATGGTTCAGAAAATTTCATTCAGGTGACTTTAGCCTTAAAAACTGTGATGG